TCCGACTGCACATTTTATTGATGATGATTGGAATATGCATAAACGTGTTCTTGTTTTTCCTAAATTTAATGATCGACACACTGTTGATAATATTTATCTTCTCATTGAGCGTATTTTTATTGAGTATAATTTGATTGATAAGGTGTTTGTTGTAGGTTTTGATAATGTTAGTAATAATACTGTTGTTTTACCTAGATTGCGTGAACGGTGTGGTACTTCTACATTGATGGGTAGGTTTTTCATCAACGTTGTGCATGTCATATTTTACATATGTGTGTACAAGAAGGGCTAGCCAAATTAGGAAATGCTTTGGAGGTAGTGAAGGAGGGAACTAAAGTGATTTGGGCTAGTACTCCACTAAAAATGCAATGACGGCAATATTTGAAGGATAGACGTGTCAATTATTGTGTTTTTCCAAAAGATTTGTCTATTCGTTGGAATAGTACATATAACTTAATTGAAGTACTTATTAGATATAAAAAGCATTTTCGTGCTTTTTAAAGACAATCTTGTAACTATATTACAAACCCGGCTGACATCGACACTTGCGAAAAAGTTGTGAATGTTTTGGTATATATTAACAATTGAACTCAAACTTTTAGTCATGTTTATACACCTACCGCAAACCAATTTTTTGTTGAAACTGTTAATCTCGCCAGCGCTTTTTGTGAGTTTTTCGATGCCGCCTACGTTAGTTATTTTTGTGATTTCATGAAAGAAATTTTTTAAAAATATTATTTACATATTCCGCATATATATGGTATTGCATTTATTCTTGATCCTCGTTATAAACTTGCTTATTTAAGAAATTATATAGATTACTATTATGCTTCTTTTTTTCCAACTCAAGAGTTCGACGATAATCTCATAGACCCTAAACAAGAATTCAACGAGGTTAGTAATTTATTTAATCAATTATATAATGAATTTTATGCACAATATGGTAATGCACCCCCTCCCGTGACGCGACCATCTTCTTCATCTAAAGGAAAATCACTTTTTAAATCTGCATTTGGCAATCCTATGAAAAAAAAGCAAAACAGCTCCCGCTAATGAACAAAGCTCAGTTAACGAGCTTGCGATATATCTAACATTTCCTGTTGATTATGAAGTTGGGGATGACTTTGACGTTCTAAAGTGGTGGAAGGAAAAAGAAAGAGCGTTACCAATTTTATCAAAGATGGCTAAGCAAGTGCTAGCAATGCCGGTATCAACAGTTGCCGTGGAACAAGAATTTAGTGCGGCCGGCAACGTTCTAGCTGATTATAGAACGAGATTGAGACCAAAGTCTCTTGAGACGCTTGTTTGCTTCCACGATTGGTTGAAGGCGCAACGTAGAACTCAAGAAATGACCATCGCCCCCACCCGTCACTTTATGGAGGAAACAACCGAAGGCGGAGATTCAGATTAGGGGTGGATTCAGGTCGGGTCACCCGGCCCGTGAACCGGCCCAACCCGCTACTGTGAGGGGGCCGGGACTGGCCCGGTTCTCGGGTCCGGGACCGGGTGGTTAACCGAACCGGGGGGACAGCGGTTCCGGCTCGGGTACAGGTTTTCGCGACCCGGCCCGGCCGGGTTGGGCCGTGGTCCGGGTCCCAACGGTTGGATTTTAAAAAAAAAAGTAAAAATCTTTTGGGCTCAAAAGAGCCGTTTGGCCCTTGACCCACAACCGAAATGGCTATATAGCCGTTGGATGGGTACCGGGCGGTCCGGGCCTTTGGGGGGGGTTTAAAAAAAAGCTATAAATACTCCTAATTTTAAACATTTTTCCACATCTTCTCCAACTCTTCCTAAAACCCACTCTCTACTCTCTAATCATCTCCATCTTCATCTTCTCAAATTCTCTTATTCTCCAATATATTTTATTATTTTACTATTCAATACTTATACAAATATTATATCAACTTTATATTAATTATCTACTTATAAATACATATATTATATTAGTTATCTTTCTTATCTACTTATATATTAATTATCTACTTTTCAATACATATATTATATTACTTATATTCCTTATCTATTTAATCTCTACTTATTATCTACTTATATTACCTATATTACAATTTACATCTACTTAATATACACTTTATATATTAAAATATTATATATAAGTGTATTACTCATCTTATAGTAGTATACTTATATATTTATACTATAAACATTATATTATATATTAGTTATACATTTATTATATCTACTAATATAGTTGGAATTATATCTAATTAATTCGAAGTAATATTAAGTATATATATATACAATTTTACTAATATATTACTTTTATAGTTTTATTACGTCTAATTAATATATTAAGTGTGTGTACTTACATATATATTAGTTACACTTTAATTAATATTAGTTAAATTCATTCTATTACTCCCATTAATTAGTATACACATTCATATATTTGTCGTATTAGTTACATTTTGTATTAACATTATTTCATTAGTTAATTAGTATCACACGAATTGTTTAATTTTTCATTAAAGTAGTTAATTACTTCATTACAATTTTTTATTAATTGCTACCTTTGACTCTACTTTAAAAAAACTAGTTGTTGAGGTTTATTCCTTCAACTTTTGGGTTCAACACATAAGCCCAAAGATTTCGAGTGGAGTGGTGTATTTGTATGAATAAACTAGCCAATAGCAACTATGATGGATCAAGAAATAACAATGATAAGCAAGTAATAGATTAGGTATTATTAATCAGTTAATAACTCCTCAATACAATATGTTTGCTAAGGCTCGTCGGTCGTTCGTCTTACAAGGCAGTAGAAGAGCTACGAGTAAGAATGCTATCAGCTAGAGTGCTAAGAATAGTAAGTTGTCAACCCTTTACAATGAAATAAATGCTTCTATTTATATTACCAATGGGTAGCTGGCTATGCTGACGTGGAGGCCTGTGTGTGGCTGATGTCCCAACCACCAAATCTCCGGGATTAAATGCGCTTCCCGCCAGAATCTGGGTTTCCCGCCTAAATTGTGGAGACGTACGTCCAGTGGGGAAAGGGAATTACTCCTGGTGGTATTGCAAAGGGTGATGGGCCGTTTGTATCCTGGCCTTTAGAGGATTTGTCATATGGCTTGGATTGACTTCACGCGACAGTGGCTTCTAGGGGCGACGTTCGTCGCCGTTGCGTTGTCTGTGGATTTGATCCACTTGTCTTTGTACAGACGTTCGTCCGAGTGGGCTGCTCCATCAGGGAAGACGTTCGTCTTGACGGGAGGTGAATGAGCCGGCCCCTGTGTTGGGCCATTAACCCAACACTAGTTAATTCTCATTAAAGTTAAAGTTAAACTATAAGAATTTGATTGTTAGTAAAAAAAAAATAGGTAGTACAAAAAACTAGTTAATTGTTAGTTTTAAGTATTTATTAAACAAGAGTATTGATTAGTTCAAATAACTTGTACAAAAAACTACTCCGTAGTTAATTCATTACTCAATTAATTTTTGCTACAAATTTTTTACTCACATTTTATTATAATCAACACCTACCATCTCCCAAACGGCTATATAGCCATTGGGAGGTAGGCCTCTAACATATGGGGTCCGGGGGTAAAAAAATTTCTATAAATACACCTATTTTCTAACATTTTTCTACACCTCTTCAGCTCTTCTCCAATCTCCATCTTCATCTCTATCTATTCTAGATTTCTAGTATTTATACAATTAATCTTATATCTACCATTTTTAAGATGGAAAGTCAAAATGTCAATATCAAAAATAATTTTTTAAGGTTAAGGTGGAAGAACCCGACGACCAGGATGTCGTACGCAACTTGTTACTGGTGCGGGAAAGTGTGTAGCTTGGGACTTTCACATGGTTACAGGATGGCCAAGAAAAATATTAAATCCTGTGAGGCTGTGACAAAGCCAAAGGCAAGGGAAATTCCGATTGATTATTAATTATATTATTATTTATTATAAAATGTATTACATATTGTATTTTTTCTCAATTCTCAAATGTAGTTCCTATTTCAAATAAATGCATTTGAAGTTTGTTTTTAATATTCAGCACTTGTATAAATAAGTAGCAAAAAAGGGGAAAAAAAATTATAGTGACCCCACCCAGCCTGACGGTAGCCCGGGCCGTGACCCGGGCGGGTGATCCGGCCCGAACCGGCACTGGCCGAAGGACAGGCCAGTCCTGGGCCCACCTATTCGTAACTGGCGGCCCGACCGGGCCTAAGCCCGGCCGAGTCCAAGCCAAATTCCGATTGACTATCTATTACAAAATTTATTTCATTTATTTAATTTTTCTCAATTCACAATTGTACTTCTTATTTCAAATAAATATACTTGAACTTTTTGTATATATCAACTCTCTTAAATTCATTGGACAACCAAAAAAAACATTTAGCCCGGAACCGGCCCGACCCGGCCTGGTGAACCGCCGGGTGGCCCGGCCCGACCCGGAACCGCCACTCTGCCAGTTCCGGTTCCACCTTTCCCAAACAAAAGCCCGACCGGGCCCAAGCCCGAACCGGCCCGGGTCCAACCCTAAGTAAAAGTAGTGTTTTCAAAGCTTAAACCTAAGAACATTAAACTAAAAACAGGGGAAAGTGCTTAGAAGTTAGAACTGTTTTCCACTTTTCTAGATTATTTTACTAACTAATTCACAAGAATATTTGTTACCAAGAACTCCAAGTCTCCAACCTTCACTTTTACGAAATTGCTACTACTTCGCATTACTTTAAAAGAATTTATTCAACTTTTGGTCCTAAAGTTTTATGTCAATTCCACATTTAGTCCACATCTCACTTTGTCCACTTTTGATACTTGACTACTGTTTTTTTTACCATTTGTGGTCCTCCGACAATTTTAACCGGAAACATGGTCGGAAGGACTATATGTGGACAAAAACACAATAGTCATGTACCCAAACTACATAAAGTGAAAGGCGTGGACTAAATGTGGAATTGACATAAAACTCGTAAGACTAAAAGTGGATTTTATTTACGTTAAAATACCACCAACTTTTCCAACCGAGACAAATTTTGAAGGACATAGTAGTATAGTACTATAATTTCAAACCAAAATTTGTTAAGAATAATCCAGGTTTTATCACTTACAATAATCTTAACGGCAAGAGGATTAAGATCATAAATAACGTGACCTATTATAAAAATATCATCTCATCCTTTATTCTCTCACAACTTAACTGTCTAAAGCCATAAGTTTCCTTTTCTTTGATAATTTCTCTGAAGGCTGGAAGCCATTGTGCTCACCAGCGAATTGGGCAGCAGTGCGAGCTCGTAGTTCCTCCAAGGTCTCTCCTTCTTTTGCTCTTTCCAAAACCTGGGAGAAAGGAAAACCAATGAAGGATAGGCTCATATAAAATTCCACATCATCATAAAATTGTTAAGGGGGCTTACCAAATGACGACCATAAAAGTGAGTACTAGAAAGGGCTTCAAAGGCATTTTGAGCTTCTTGCTTCGTTACAAATTCTACAAATGCAAAGCCTCTGTGGCTCCCAGACCTCATTGGCAGCCTTAAGCTCTTGATCTGTGGGTGAAAAGAAATCCATCATGTTATCCAAAAATTTATGCAGCAATACATTCGAATAATCTGAATGGAAAAGAAAATCCCAAAAAAGGGAAATTGAGGTTGATTGGTCACGATATGATTACACACAACATCTTGTATGATTTATGTGAAATGGACCATGTTTGTTTACACAAAACATCTCGTATTATTTGTGTGAGAGAGAAAAGGATATGGGACTACTGATTTATGAAATTGTTTTTACTTAGTTTAAACTGGGCGGGCAGTAGGGCACGATAAGCAGAAAGAGCTGTAGTGGTTTTGCTATTGGGCAAGTCATCAAGCTGAAGGATGCTTATGTCCTATACTCCTATAGTCCTATATTCAGCTTTTTTTGTTTTTCCTGCAATATAATCCCTATTATGTTCTACTATTCACTATTATGGTCATTTACTCCTATCAGTGTGTGTGTGTGTGTGTGTGTTTGTATGTACACATGCTACATGTAATGCCACTTGGATCATACCATACTATACTTTAAACGTTGTCTTTTACTCTAATTAAGCCAATTGATCTATTGAACATTGTTTATACAAACTGATGTAGAAGTATTATGCATTTACCTCACTATTCCATTCTTTATTGAATTGTACATCTACTTATCTATTTCCATTACATGAACTACTGATAGGCACTCAATATGACAGCCAATTCAATTATATAATAAAGTCTACCAAAGGAAGAGTAGAAAGGTAGTTAGTAATAACTAACTAGTCTGTTAGTTCTGTTGTTCCCTGCGTGGACAAATTACAATAAATAGAAGCTTATGAACTACAAGGGGACGAGGGGTACGCTGTTATTCGGTTGGACTTAGACTTTGGAGACTGGGCATCTCGAATAGTCCTTTTGCATTGTATACCTTCTGTACTTCTTCCTACATCAATAAATTCTTCTTGATCTTGTTTCTTGTTACTTTCCTATTGAATCTACTGTATATTGAGTCGGAAATACCAGTGTTCTATCAACTACATGGGCAGAATGGCAGATAGAGCGCAATTTCTATTTATTAAAAATTAGTAATCCTAGTTCAATTTGGAACTGTTTTGAGTTTTGACTATCAAACATAAAACTAATTTACCTGGCCAAATGGATCGAACAATTTCCTAAGTTCTTTCTCCGTTGCCTCAAATGCAACATTTCTCACAAGCAATTTTGTTGAACTCTTGTCCTTACCAACTTTGCTTGGTACTTGTTCATCCTTCTTAGCATGACAAAGTTGCAAAATTAGCGCATGGCCATCTAAAACAGTGCCCTAAAACAAGAAAGAAACAATCAAAGATTAGATAATCATTGAACTTGAACAAGAAAGAACCTTTGTAAGCAAACTGCAAAACAGGGGAATATTTTACCTGCAAATCTTTGCACACGTGTATTGCAGTATCCACAGAATCAAACTCAATAAATCCAAAACCCATTGAAACAGCCTTCCCATTTTTTGTATGCTTTTTCACCTACCAAACATTGGAGAGCAGTAAATCAAATACCTTGATGAAGCTTCAAGGATAAAAACCCTTCAGATTGTTCAAAGAACAGGTAAAAAGGCTGGTAGCAGAAATCTGATAGAAATTTTACCCTGACGCTCCGTATTTCTCCATTATTCATGTTTCCAACAAAATGTTTTTTCAAGCTCTCATCGGATGTTGTGAAGTTCAAGTTCTTCACATAAAGTGATCTTGACTGCAAAGCACGCACATGGAAAAAGGTGAGCAATTGAGACAATAACAGAACAAGTTAAGGAACAGTTGGGACATCTAAAGAACTGACAGCATGGTTGGTATCTGGGAACAAACAACCTGTGATGAAATGAATTCAAATCCCACAGGAAAGGAAAAAAATAAAGATTTCCAATTCTATTATTTGGTAGGAACAGATAAACTTAACAGGAAATCACTTCCAATGATTCGTATATAATGAAATCTAAAGGGAATTAATAGTATGATAGGCAAAATAGGTTAGAGGAATTGCAATGGCATAAAATTCAAAATAACTGGTTGAAGCCCAGAGTTTCAATGCCACAAATTCGAGGAATTACAATCCCAAAGTCCAAAGAGAATCAACCCCACAAACCGCACAGTGGAATTGCTCACTTTTTTGAATGATGGGGAAAGGAATTGCAATTTCCCCCTACGTTCCGTGTACCAAACATGCAGAAAAAATTCATATGGAATAGCAAAAAAACAAGATCATCATCGGCCTCATTTTATTTGTTTAGTTTTTTATGACACATATTTCCAGCATTTGCAATGGGGCCAAGGACTCAGTACTTTTTGGCTTGGGAAAATGATGGAATAAAGCAAAATGGCGTACTAAACTGTCTGCGCTTCTTTGTTGTGAAGCAATTTTCAACGCGATTTTCACTATGGGTCATCCGGAACAATCTCTCCGTGCTTTAGTACAGGGGTTAGACTGCGTACATCCGACCCCAGTACGCCACCGAAGGTATGGGAGCCTTCGCGGCACTGGGGTAATGATAATGATAATGATGAGATTTTTTATGACGCATACTACATATTCATTACTAAGAACATATAATTCAAAAACTGAGCCATGTATTGCAGAATACACGAGAAGAATAAGGTGGCTCACTGGCCCTAATTAAAAATGGCAGCATAGTTGAAAAGCCTAATATTATAAGCTAGCATCAAGTACATGACCATGAGATCTGCAAAATTGTATTGTAGAGGTGCGAAAGTGAACATAGAAAAATAGATAGAATAATAGGATATACGTGTGATTATGTGAAGATAAAAGAATACCCATAAGGCCTTAGTGCTAGAATAGCCATCATCATCATCATCACCCCAGTGCCGCAAAGGCTCCCACCTATGGTGGGGTATGGGGGTGGATGTATGCGGTCAAGATATGTGCAGTTCATGATTCAAGAAAATACCTCAACTCTGTCAGGATCAACATCAGTATCTATTGTACCCTCCAGTTGCTGTTCTAGTAAAACTTTCTTGACATCTTGTTCACCAGCAATCATAGAATTACTTGAACCACCCGTTTGATCAAGAATATTGCCAGGAGCCCATTCCAAATACAATGGTGCATCTCTGTGTTAAAGAAAATGTACATCCCAAATGTTGTGAAGCTGATAATCAATTAGTTCATGAAACTCAAATCTTAAACTACTTAGTCTACATGTGATAAAAAAAAGTGAAATTTAGGAACAAATGGAGTACACAAGAGGAGATTGAACTTATAATCGGAGATTGAACTCATAATCTTACTTGTAACGTTTGTAGGCTAAACCCCGGAATGCTGCGCGTGCTTCAGCTGGTTCAAGGAACACCACCTGTACAATTATGAGGCAATTTAAAGCAAAATGAACAATACATGGAGGACTGCTTTGCCAGTTACCAGATTTAACATAGACTCAACATACATGTATGTCAGTAACTGTCAGAAGCTTAGGCTGAATGCCTTAATAAGAAAACAAACCAGAATACCAATACATGAATACGATAACATTAAAGTAATACAACAACATACATGCCTTAGTCCTCAAAGATTTTGGGGTCGGCTAACATGAATTCATACATGATATCGGTGCCAAAAAGAAAAGAAAAGAAAGGAAAGATAAGAAAGATAAAAAGATAAGGTAAGATAAAAAGGATAAGATAAAGATAAAGATAAGATAAAGATAAAAATGACAGAAAAAGAATATAAAGATAAGGTAAAATACATCAACTGTTTGAAATAAATCAACTACCTAGAAATGAAGGGGGAGAAGATATACCAAAGCTAAAGTTTTTGTTGCAGGAAGAATAATTTTATCTATGCCTCCAAATTTCCCAAACATATTTGCAAGCTCACTTTCCGATGAACTGTAGGGCAAGTTCTTTACTAGTATAACATGATTGCTTCTTTTGTTTCTGTCAGATTTTCCAGCAGCAAATTCCTCTAGAGAAGAAACATTTATTCCAGCTTTCACTAAACTTTGCTTTGTATCAGCAATGACTTTAGTTTCTCCCAAGGCTATACGTACGGCAAGATCAGAAGCTTCTTTATCCAGAAGATCAGATTTACTAACACCTAGTCTCCTTGCAATGTTTTCCACAACCTTCAAATAAAAGCAAAGAGGAAGCATGAGATTGAAGGAAGATCAAGGTAAAAAGCAGAAATAATGTCCAAGTAACAACCTTTGTGTAGTATTATTTTCAATTTTTGATAAAACGTTTTTGTTCATGTGCCATAATGTGCATGTTGATTTTACAATATCAGCCAAGAAAAGGCATATGACTATTGATATCTCAGCTTATGGACATCTCATAATATGTTGATTATGTTCCATGCAACTGGGAAAAAATAAAAAACACAAAGATGAGCTCGGTATCAAATTTCATTTCATTATGTTGCGTATCCATCATAAAGTTTTGCCACTGATTTTTCCATCATTTGCAATGGAGCCAAAGATTCACTATTTTTTGGCTTGAGAATATGATGGAATAAAGCAAAATGGCTCACTAAACTATTTGCGCTTCTTTGTCATGAAGCAGCCGTTAGTTCATGCAATTTTCCATCCAAAAATAGTCTTTTTGTGATTTAGTACATGGAACAAGGGTAAGGCTGCGTACATCTGACCCCCTCTTACCCCGCCATAGGTGGGAGCCTTTGCGGCACCTGGGTAATGATGATAATGATGACTATTTAGTGTTGGCTATTTTTTTAAATTTGACAGATGATTACTACCCCCTCCTCGAGATATATAAGGCCTGATTGAATTTCTCACACAATGACATATTATTAGTTTTTTAATTTCGCTATTAAAAGGTATCAAATCTAATAAAGAGTTGTGCACATATTTCAAAATTTCAAATCAGAAATGATAAAATGGCACAATGTAGAAAGTTGGTGGAGTTTAAGGAGTAAAACTATTTACTCCATTGGCAAACATCCAAATTTAAGCCTAGTACAAGAGAGAGGCTAGAACATGCATCCAAAAATGAGACGTGCAGTCCATTTTGTTAAGGGGTGCAATTTGTGTTCCAGTTGTTCTATGGTTCAGATATCTTGGCGCATTCAGCGATGACTTTTCTTCTTGCACTTTGATCTAATTAATGAAAATCGATCTCATTTATCTGATATATTCCAAAAATATCATAATGAAATTAGAAAAGGAACTAAGGTCAAATCTAGGAAGTTTGAACATTTTAACGCATATGTCTACACGATCAAGCTTCAAAGAGAGTGCTGCAAACCTAAACATCAATTAGCTAACATTGAGATCATATGGCGACACATAGCACAAATAAGCATACAATCACATAATTAAGTTGAAATTTTAATTTATGAAGTACCTAAATACACAGTGGTCTATCACTCTATTGCAATGTAAAATACTCAACGGGAAAGCATTTTATTCATTAAGAAATTCATTGAAAAATTCAAGCTTCAACTTTATAATGGTGTTTGCTACACCTGATAGCAACATCTACAGATTCAATATTTTAGACTTCTAGCTGAAAATGCATCAAAAGCAGATTTTTTCCTGGGATACCTAAAAGAATTATTAAAAAGCAACATACTGTATCTGGGCGCATGAACAAAGCATTCCACGATTGCGTGTTTCCACTTGCTTCAGATGTCTTCCTGTCTTCCAGTCTTTGATGTTTCAATGTTTGTAGTGATAGTTTCCCAGATCCATTTACCCTGCAGAATAATTCACCAAACACTACTAATCTATAGAACAAATATATTTTGAAAAAAAGATAGAAACAATGCAGCAATGTTCTTGTCCATTCATGTAATAACAAATGATGTAACACATAACAAGGACAGTCGAACAGAGAAGCCCCCTAATTCATTGCTCATACTCTTGGCTATAGGCAGAATGTTTTTGCTTTGCCGGCATAACATGCAACAATCTTCCTTGAAATATTGAACCATCCAACTCTTCTAATGCCCTGAATATGAGCCAAAAGAAATTTTTAATACCTAAACATAGAGGCATGTGTGTACTGTGTATGTATGGTACAGTACTACTTTTGCACCATAAAACCTTAAATTAGTACGCGATTAAAAAGAGATTGCCACAAATAGGTCACAAAATTATGTGATACAGTCATAAAGTAACCCAAAGTAAAAGTTAAACCAGTAAATAGTGGCATCAGATATAGATTGAATACCTAGCTGCAGATTTTGCAAGAGTGTACAGAACATATGCAAACCCTTTTGACCTTCTTGCTTCTTTATCTACAACAATATGAACTTGTGAAACCTTGCCATATTTGCTGAAATACCCCTCTAGTTCTTCTTCCCTGAAATATCAATTGCAATGAAGACAAAAGATGATTAACCATTATTAACTGCAGCATCCAGTTTATATCATGCGTACGTTGTACATTCATGCGTACGTTGTAGCATAAGGCAAGTTGCGGACAAACAGGCGGCCCCCTTCTAAAACTTCTGCATCTTTATTAGATATATGATCGCCTAATTCAAACATTTCATCGCTATGTTCTACAAACTGTCTTTCACTTCCCTCCTTTTTGTTATCACCACACGCAAGGGCATCTATATCATCACCGCTCTTTCTAAATGAGGTTTCAACATCCATATTGCAGTCTTCATTGGTTTTAGTATCATCATCATCACCATCATCTTCTTCATCTTCATCACCACTTTCTGAATCTGACCAGTCCTTCTTCACTCTTCTTTTGAAATAATCCACATCAGAAACAACATTATCGTGGATAAAACTCTTTGGTTTTACAACATTGCAAGCATTCAAAGATGCTTTAAATTTATCACCATCTTCATCTGGATCAATTTTGTCGATACTCATGTCGGCTTTAGTTTCCTCCTGCATTTGACATTTCTTTTCACTTGTCTTTTTATTGTCCGAAAGAGAGAGGGCTATAGTTGAGTCATTTGCCCACATCTTAGATTTACTTCGAGGCTGCATGACCTGGAGGAACTCTTGAAGTTGAGGATCATCATTTTCACTTTCCTCTATACTAAGCTTATTGTCCTCTTTTAACCCCTTAAACTTTTTATTTGCTGATGAAGTTATTTCCTTGTCAGCCGTACTTAGTTTCTCTTCCTTTTTTATTGAGTGCCGACTCCATGGACGTGGGGCATTTGGATCACCAAGTTTCCTGGCAATCTGACATATAGAAATCAATACTACAGGGAACACTAACAGACCTACAACTTATGATTGTTGTGTAAGAAAATCATCCAGAATAATAACACCATTGCAAAATTTTCAGAATCTTTAATGCCCTCTGAAAAGAGAGACAAGGTGTTATCTACTCGTTATCTCATATTACAAGTAGTAAATAATATCAAAGAGAGACTGTTTTCATCCAGAATATGTGTTTGATTATATATTCATTTGAGGTATGATGACACCAAGATCAAGACTGACAAGTTTTATGATCATCGAATTCTGTGTTGGGTAGAACGCCCACACAAACACAAAACAGTCTCTTTCATTATTATGATATAATATTAGTACCTATTCCTTCGCAAAATAACCAATGTTTTAGAGAAAATTTCACATATTACGAACCTTTAGAAAATGACCATCTATCCTTGTTTAAGCTTAACATTACAACAACAACATCCAAGCCTTATTTCCAAAAGTTTAAGTTTAACATTAAATGCATTTTATTTTTTCAAGTTACAAGTGCATATATTTTAGGAAGACTTAATATGATAATATGTGCAAGATTAGTAGTATGAATGTACCACTCTTGAATTAAAAGAATGGATAAAACTTATGAAACAGAAACTTCTTGCGGCTCACATTTCCTCATTTTGGAAACTCAGAAGTGTGTCGATAGCTCAGAAACTTGAAAGTTCCATTTCGGGACTGTTTTCATAATAAGAAGAATTGGGAATCTTGTTTCCCTAAACAATTAGGACAAGTTTACTTCACAGGTTACTAAGCAGTGCTTCTTAAGACTTGTGTTAGTAAGCGGCACGTAAATTAAACAGTGCTATAAGCTCATGTTTACTTCACGGGATTTAAAACACCGATTAACATTAAAATGCCCAAAATAACCTTATACATATATAGACAACAAACATGTATGTATACACATGTATATACTACCTCCGGTTTTATTTAATCTTCACACTTTGACTTCACACAAAATAAGGAAAGAAATTTGACTTTACTGTAGAGTACACTGTTGAGACACTGTTTGACACTGTAGAGACATTATTCGGCACTGTTGAGACACTGTTTGGCACTGTTTGACACCGTTTTGATGTAGTTTTCTTTGCCAAAAAAGGAAATAAGGAAGTGTGAAGTTTATTTTAGACCGTCCCAAAAAGGAAAGTGTGAAGTTTATTAAAAACCGGAGGGAGTATATAATACGTGGGGGCCTACCCCCTACCCTAACTCTCGTACCCGTACCCCACCCGCACCCATTGCCTCTCTACCCACACCCCCGACCCATACCCTACCCGCACTCATACCCCTTATCCACAACCTGCCCATGCCCCTACCCTCCCCCAACCATACCCACACCCCGACCCCACCCCCTAACCCCTTACCCTACCCCCCTACCACCCCCTTGAGGGTAGGGGTAGAGATTGTGTACGGGAAGGGGAAAGGGTAAGGGGTTCGAGTACGGGATGGTAAGGGCGGGGCGGGGTGGCGGCGGCGGGGTTGGTTTTGGGGGTAGGGGTAGGGTGGGGGTAGCGGTGCGTAGACGTAAGGTTAGGGGTAGGGATAGGGTAAGGGCAAGAGGTAAGGGTAAATTCAGAAACTAAAAATGTTAACTTGCCGCTTAATTACTACATGGGAGTGGTATGTTTAGTAAGTGGTACTTTAAGCACCTGTTGGGTTACTAAGCAGCTTTTTAAGCAGCCAGTGTGTAAAGTGTGTTTATTTCACCTGTGTTACTAACCTAACTGTGACTTTAGCAGAGTAGTAAACACGTCCTTAGTGTTCAAACCTTTTTGTTTGAACCGCACTCTATACATACATATATATACACAATTATACATGCATACAAAAGTATATATGTATATGTATATATAATTTTTTTATAAATATATCCACATATTTTCTACGGAGTAATATTTACACGCGTGCCGTTTACCCCACATTTTGTATCCTAAAATTTTTTTAATCCTCTTTTTTTGCATTTCAAGTTTGAGGTTTTGACATAAATAGTACTAATAGAGAGAGAACCAACGGGAAAAAATAGGAGTAGTTTTAAAAATGTTAAGACATGGGGTTCCATCCTAAAAGATCAACCTAATAAGAGTAGCCCGTGTGTTAATATAGCACTTTATTCATCCAAACATTTCCGGTGTGGGACATTTAACACCCCTCCTCATGACCAGACACTTCGTCTGGATCGTGCCATCATTCATTTTTTGTTCATCGGTCCGTTTTTTTTATCCGGCCGTAATTTTAAAATCGTGTCATCACGATTCATAAGGGGCGCTACACCATGGATCGTATTGGTTCTGATACCATCAGTAATCATGCCATGTTTAAAATCCGTTGTCCCCTACATCCATCTCATTGTTTTACAAAGTCAAATAAACTTCTAAATTAGCACGTCTGGTCGCCAAGTTCTGTCCCACCTCAATCAAACATGGTTCATTGTAAAACCAATATATTGTATTTATAGGGGCATGCGTGTCTAATGCACGAATACCCCCAAAAGTATTGGGCACAAGGCCCAGAGGTGGGGCTTCTCCAACCTCAAACATTCCACTTGCAGGTAAAGCAAATGGAAAATTAGGTGGAGGTAAAGCAGTAGGGTGTCCTTCAGTAGTCTTCACTACAATGCATAAAGGTCTTTCGGGAGTATCAGTCAGTTTAGCATTATATACTCGGGCAAAACCAACAGCCATTTGTGCTCGCACTCGTAAAACCTCGTGCCGAACCAGCTGCACTTCATTTGTGAGATTTGTTGCCACATGAATAAAATTTGTGTTAAGTTGTGCAACTTGAGCTGCAAGTTGTCCAACTTGAGCTGCAAGTTGTCCAACTTGAGCTGCAAGATCTTGCACCGCATTCATCACATTCCCGTGTGGAGGGGGTTGCTGACCAGATTACCTTCCAACTATTTTGCAATGATGAGATAGTGCATCGACCATCTCCAAAGGTGTAATCAACCCAAGTTGATTTCTATAATTCTGTTGAAGATGCAAGTTTTCTGCTACAACATCTTTCGGCAGAGGTATTTGACCCGGTGCTTTTTTTTTTCAAACAGAATCGAAGTGTCATTCATTTTTCCAATGTGAAAATGGGATAAAAGTGTGTATGTTGAAATTATACTTCGTATGTGGTTATGAAGAGCATGTTCTAAGGAGTTAACAATATACCTGCCCTGAAGGAAGCAACCTAGCATTCCATGATTTATATCCTTGACACCAACATCAAAACGAGGAATAATTACACTACAGTCGTTCAGACTTCCATTGACCTCAACCACAATTTCCCCGTATATCCTTGCTTTTGCATAAAGTGGAGAAGCTTGATGATCCCATGTGAAGGTCAGATCATAATGTAAAGCTTTCCTTTGTTCACAGCATTGTACATGCCCTATAGGGCATGATTCAACACACTGACCCTCGCCATCTTTTAAATAAAACCCACTATGCAGAGTGGAAAGCGAGGAGCTCCATCCGTGATGAAATGCTCAGCTGATGAGTGGAGTAAATTATAGAAATCAACTTGGGTTGATTACACCTTTGGAGAATGGAGATGGCCGATGCACTATCTCATCATTGCAAAATAGTTGGAAGCTACTCTGGTCAGTAACCCCCTCCACACGGGAATGTGATGAACGCGGTGCAAGATCTTGCAGCTCAAGTTGGACAACTTGCAGCTCAAGTTGCACAACTTAACACAAATTTTATTCATGCGGCAGCAAATCTCACAAATGAAGTGCAGCTGGTTCGGCACAAGGTTTTACGAGTGCAAGCACAAATGGCTGTTGGTTTTGCCCGAGTATATAATGCTAAACTGACTGTTACTCCCGAAAGACCTTTACGCATTGTAGTGAAGACTACTGAAGGACACCCTACTGCTTTGCCTCCACCTAATTTTCCATTTGCTTTACCTGCAAGTGGAATGTTTTAGGTTGGAAAAGCCCCACCTATGGGCCTTGTGCCCAATACTTTTGGGGGTATTCGTGCATTAGACACGCATGCCCCTATAAATGCAATATATTGGTTTTATAATGAACCATGTTTGATTGAGGTGGGACAGAACTTGGCGACCAGACGTGCTAATTTAGAAGCTTATTTGACTTTATAAAATAATGAGATGGATGTAGGGTACAACTGATTTTAAACATGGCATGATTATTGATACCATGTTAAGACACGGGGTTCCATCCTAAAAGGTCAACCTAGTAGGAGGAGTAACCCGTGTGTTAATATAGCACTTTATTCATCCAAACATTTCTGGTGTGTGACATTTAACAAAAAAGTTCCACAAAAAGAGACTAAGAAGGTTGTTATACCCTTACTACTGTCACTTGTGCCACCCTCCCCAATGCACCCTAGTGACCAATTCCCAAAAATGACTCCCGCAACAGTGACTCCGGAGACACCGGAGGCACTGACCCAATGATAGTGACCAATGACCCCAATGACATTGGGTAGTGATCTTTCTTCTCCGATCACCCACTACCCCATTACCGTCCCTCAGTGACCAATGCCATCCAATGACCTCCGGCTCCCGGTAGCCCTGGCACCTCACTGATTTCCTATTGCTGCCAACTGCCACCCTGATGAGCCTAGGTGTTTCACCGTCTGCCCACCACCACTGCCATCACTTCCCAAACCCCTCTACCGCCATTGCATGCACTGCCCGCCCCTTCGTTGCCCTAATCCCCTACCTCCAAACCCTGCCAAACTCTTGCCCAGCCGTGCCTACAACTACTGCCCCTCCCACAACCCCTCTCTAGTCAGTGCCCCTGCCTCCAACCCCTATACAAACATCCTGCCCCTGCCTTATGTCTCCCCAATCCCCAAACAGCCAATGATCCGCCCCGGCCTCCACAACCCCAGCACCGCAAATACCCTGCCTCCGAACCGAAGCTCCATGTCGCCCCACCCCAAACTACCACTACCCCACAAGGCATCATCAGCAATACGATGACATTTTCTCGCTTCCCTCTAAGTCTCCAACATTGACGTCCATCTTCATTCCTAATTCCTTCTCCACCGCCAGCAATTTCAGTCGCAAATCCGACTTCCTAATCCCATATTTTTATTTTTAAAAAATATATTCTAATTTCTAAAATCATGACTTCAGAAATCAATGGGACGGAGGAGTTATGTGATTCGCGGTGACTGGAGCGGCGGGCAAGGTACGGCTGGACAGTCTAAGCTCTTCTTCTGCCGTTCGCCACCGCTGCAGCAGTGGTTTAACTTCTAGGATTTCGTCACATTGCTTTTACGCTGAAGGGGAGGGCAGGAGGTGGAGGAAAATAGTTGTAGAGTCGACGACGGGAAGCGCGGCAGCAAGGCAGCGTCCACAGCCGCTGCGGGATGCGTGGCAGTAGGATGGCGGTGGCAGCGGCTCCTTGTTGTACGTCAAGACAATGGATACAGCTGAGGTCTTAGATGCGGTAACAAAAAGTTCAGCGTTGAAAGGGTTGAATTAGAGTAGGATAATTTAGTCCATTCATTATTAAATGGTCACATTTTTGTCCTATTTTAGATATATGTCCAGTCAAAACTCAAAGGTAATATTCTTGTCAGTTTCTCTTCGTGTTTCCTATTTCGCGCTTCCGTACTACATAAGTTAATACTCCCTCCGTATTCTATTGATTGTTGCAATAGAGTTTGGCACAATATTTAAGGGGAAAAGGAGTAGCGAATAGTGTAGAAAAAGTAGGAGAGACGGTGGAATAGTTTGAAAGAGAAGATGAAAAAGTAACATTAATTGAATATTGTAAAGGGAAAACTTACCAAAATGGGAAAGTGTAGCAAATATTGAACAATAATGGAAATTGTAGCAAATAAAAGAATATGGAAGCGAGTAATAATTTTTGTAACAATAATGTGGGAATAATCATTAAAACAATGACTCTATTTGACATTAGAGACATCACAAAAATAAGATGTAACAAGAAGAGTGAAGGAACCAATAGCCAAAGCAGGATTACACAAACCTCACAAGTAATTTGACAAGTATCAAGGAAAGACCTATTGAAGTACTTGATTGCTTCGTCAGCTTCTTGCTCCATCCTAAATCCAACGAATGCGAACTGTCTACTCTTCCCATCTCTATTAATGCATTCGCAAAGTAGTGTATTAAGTGAAAACACCAATAAACATGAGAGGTCATATGTAGATTCAAGTACGTAAGTAGATGTACTTCACTACATACAATAAAACATAGGAATCCATAAAATCATTCTAAAAAAAGAAATTAGTGATCTTACGGGGTGCGCATGAGCTTGGCATCAGTAACTTCTCCTTTCTCGGAGAAGAATTCTCGGAGGCGGTCCTCGGCAACATACTTCGGTAAATTCTTCACGCAAATACGTGACCTTCATAAAATGTTGACATTTGCTTTCATTTGCATTCTATATATTTAAAGAATCCAAATATAGCTCTGAACTGCAACAAGAAATTCAAGAGAAAAGGAGGCAAGCATACATTGCTTGGAAGGTGAAGACTTGAAATTGGTTCTGGACGACTTTGGCGCAAGATGACTGCTATGGCAGGTGAACACTGAAAGGGAGTTGAGTTTTAGGCCAACAAAACTACAGTTCTGTGCTAGTATAATCTACAGTTCTCTTTGGGGTGGTTCAGCATTTCAATTTAGTGTGGGCGAAAATGTAATACATTTAAAATAACTTCACTTGCTTCTTCTTCAATAGGTTTAAAGTATCTCTTTAAACTAATCTTCATTAGCTTCTTCAGCTGCACTTATCTTAAATATAGTTTCACAATGGCTTCGAAATTTGGAGTTTCTTTTCGTGAGATAAGACAAAAATAATAATTATAATAGCAATAATAACCTATTTTTTACATCCTAAAAGCAATATCGCACTGCATTAAATCTATTATTTTCAAGAGAAAATGTAATATGCACTGTTCACCTTGACCTATGTACACTATGAGAGTATGAGCTTGTTTGGTAACACTCAAATCGGCTAAATATGTTGAAATTGAAGAAACTCTGGCTGAAGTTGCTGAATTGGTTGAATCTGTTGAACTATGGAAAAATTATATTTAAAATATATTTTATCAATAATAATAAATTAAAAATATATGTGTGAAAAATAGCTAAAATGGTCCTCCAAAGTAATTTCAGCCAATTCAGCAATACAAGCAAAATAAACCTTATTTATTGTAATTAGGAAAAAGGGTCAAATAAATCCTTATACCATTGTAAATGCATTTACTAGTAAAAAACCATCAAATAAATCAAATCATTCATTTCATTTTCATTTACCCCAATGCCGCAAAGGCCCCCACCTACGGTGGGGTAAGGGGGTGTCAGATGTACGCAGTCTTACCCCTGTACTAAAGCAAGAAGAGACTGTTTCCGGAAAAAAAAAAAAAACTCCAATAGAAGGTTAGCCATTTTAGCTTCTCTTTTTCACTTGCTACGCAATCCTCCGATTGTTTCATTTTTTTTGGTTTTCTTTTTCCCTATTTTCTTCTCTTTCAAGCTTGGCCTAGCTATCTTCTTTCTGCACGCATTTGCTATCTTTACTTTTCTTTTTCTTCATCCCATCATTCTATGTTTCCAATGATTTGTATTTTTAATTATTCTTTCTTTTTCCATTGTTTTCTTTTTTATTTGTTTTCTTCCCCAAGAAATATTTTCTGACATTTCGTACTGATGATTTCAGTATATTATGTTGACTCATAAACATGCTCATTTTTGGAAAAAGTGAGGAAGCCAATTGTTAATACTGAAACTTTTATTTTGGAAAAAATTAAAATTTTAGAACCGTAGTTATTGTTCATATTGAAATGAAGTCTTACTTAACACCGTTAAGCAAGGTAGTCAAAGTCGTGAGGCGCACTCAAGGCGATAGGGTAATTCCAGCGCCTGAGGCGCAAGGCGCAAAAAAGCGCTCGCCTGACTCATGTCAGGCGCATTGCTCAGAAAATATCGCAAATACTATTCTCCAATAATCAAGAATGATGTATATAACACCATATTGAACCAACTACATTAAAAAGTCATGTCTTGATCAAATAAAGTCATGATTAACCAAAATAAAGCCACGATTAACCAAAATAAAGTATATATACAGCAACCCATATCACAAAAAATGGACTGGTAGTATGTATACATGGTAAAAAAATGGTAGTTTGGTAGTATGGACTGTTAGTATGTATACATGGTCAAAAAAAGGGTAGTTTGGTAGTATGTTCTAAATAGTATGTATACTGGTAGACTGGTAGTATGTACTTCTCCAAGAAGTAGCTGGTAGTTTACTTATACATGGTAAAAAAATACAATTATACAACTACTTTACATATATGTTTAAGTTGTTTAGACTGTAGAATTGACTAACTGAGACATATAAACAAGAGTTCTATAGTGTACAAGAAGAAGTAGCTGTTAGTTTACATGTACATGGTGAAAAGATATACTGGTAGTTTACATATATATGTTTAAGTTGTTTAGACTGTAGAATTGACTAACTGAGACATATAAACAAGAATTCTACAGAGTACAAGAAGTAGCTGTTAGTTTACATATACAGGGTGAAAAAATATACTGGTAGTTTACACATATATGTTTAAGTTGTTTAGACTGTAGAACAGGAGTTCTATAGAGACATATAGTACAAGAAGAAGAAGCTGGTACTTTACACTTTACATATACATGCTGAAAAAATACTGGTAGTATGTAAGAAGAAGTAGGTGCTGAAAAATGAAAAAAGAAATAAAATGGAACGAATGGAAGATGAAGAAAGAGAGAGTTTACTTTGAACGTTGAGTGCTGCACTGCTGCAAGCTTTGCGGTTGATGTGGAGGGACAGGACGAGGTAGCGAACATGTAACAGTAGGTTTACGTAATTACGTTGTGTGTTTAGCGTAGGTTACATTGTTTTGACCTTATTTGCATGGGCTTTATTAAAAATATGGGCTTCTTAATATGTGAAACAACCTAATTAAACTTAAAATAAACGATTTCCCTGTCAGGCGCATTCAGCGATCGCTTTATATCGCATCTGCGCTTCTGCGCTTTGTGCGCCTAACCTGCGCCTGAGAAGGGAAGCTGCGACTGGCCATCCATAGGGCGCTGGACCTCTCTAGCGCTGCGCCTGGTGCGCTTAAGCGCTCAGGCGCACGACTTTGACAACCTTGCCGTTAAGTATTTGTAATGTTGACACAATTAAGGTTGTAACTTTAAACACGGTAAAAAATTACACATTTTGTACGCATTTCTAAAATTCTTCACACCTACAATTTTTGTCTCTATGGTTTTGTATTGCTTTAAAGAGCCCTGCTTTTATCTCTTTGTTTGACTCCATCTTCACCAGATCATGCTTATAAAATGTGATTGGATTTAGGTAATAACCGGCTGCACAAGACTCATAATGAAACTATATTATTAAATAATAATTAAGTATTAAACTACAAATACTTGCAATAATACTATTAAGACTATTAAGTATTTAAGTATAAGTAATTAGTAATACATTGACTTAGAGTTCAAATTCTACTTAATGCTATTATTAGATTACAATATGGTTTTGAGTTTCTCTGATCTTGATTGCACTAAATTGCCATATATGCAGATTCTAAGTTTACTCTTGATTGCACAAAAAAATTAAACAACCTTCTGTCTTTTGAAAATGGCACAAACTTCTGTCTTTTGCAAACTCCAGAATAAATTCATTGAGTTATAAAACTTATAATACATTCATGCCCAGGATTAAATTTAGCAGTAATTGAGTATGACAAAATCTTTGAACTTCTAGGGACTAGGATACATGCCCTGATGCCCTTACTCCTATATACATGCCTTTCAAGCTTCTGGGATAAGAATATTTATTCAATACAAAATGTGAGTATGACATTTGATACAAAATGAGTAAGTGGTTCGATAACTAATTGGGAAAGTTAAATCTTTTTTCACAAATAAAAGGTATATGTAGTTCACTAGTTCTTATGATATCAAATAAAAGGTATATGCAGTTCTTATGGTATAAATAAAAAAGTATGCAAATTAAAGATAATGAGGTAGAATATACCTTTAGCTAGAATGTACCTTTTCAGAAAGAAAAGTACAGTCAAAAACTATGGAAAACAGATTGTACCTGCGTGCAGCAACCCTGTAGCAATCGCAGGTCCTCCGGTGCTCCCAGTAACAGTCGCAAGTCGTAGTAGTAGAGGTTGCAGTCGCAGCTCCAGGGAGAGGAATCGCAGCTTTGGTGCGCAGGGTTTTGGGTCGAAGCCCGATTAATGTTTTTAGGTTTCAGGGTGTTTGGAAGCGATTGTACTTCTGTTTTTTTTTAACGGAGCATCTCGGCGCACCTTTCTTTTTGGGGAAAAGGGGCAAAAAGCCCCTAAACTTGTCAACAAAGGGTATCTACAACCATTCTTGGTGTACACATTTTTGTACCCATCAGTACACACATGTGTCTGTGAGAGTATTTTTTTGTCTGTGAAGCGCGGTCCACAGACATAAGTTCGCTTGTTTTGTCTGTGGAAAATTTCACAGACAAAACAAACCAGCTTTTGTCTGTGGACCGCACTTCACAGACAAAAAAAAACTCTCACAGACACATGCGTGTACTGATGGGTACAAAAACGTGTACAAAAGGAATTTTTGGGGTATCTATGCCCATTAACTTTTTTTTGGGGCAAAAATCTTTAAAATCCCACATGAGAGGGCAATTGCCCCCTTTATTCACGTGAACCAAGTTAACACAACTAGGAACCATTAAGTTGCTCATTTCAATTAATTAATTTTATTATTTATCAACTAACTTTGTAAATTAGTTGAAAATTATCAAATATGAATTAGAGCCCGTTTGGTAGCACGAAAATCGTCTGTTTTGACTAATTCTGCTGAAATTTCTGAAGTTCTGGCTGAAGTGGCTGCATTGGCTGATTCTGTTGATTTAAGAAACAATTATTTTTAAAATATATTTTATTAATAAAATAAAGAAAAAATTATACTCCCTCCGTCCCATTTTACCTGTCCTACTTTCCTTTTTGGGCTGTCCCAAAATAAGTGTCTACTTTCCTCTTTTCAAAGAAATATGTGGTCTACAACTCAGAGGCGAAAGTAAAAGTTACGTGTTTGGTGAAAAAGTTGGCTGATAAGCCTGATAAGCCGAAAAACTGTCAAACGGCCTCTTAAACGATTAGGAAAGAATTGTTTCATATTATGATTAGATCCCACTTGATGTGATAAAAACGAATGAGGGTCCTTCAAATCACTTTATATTTTGATATAAATATTAAGAAATACTCCGTATGAATTTACTATTTTTGTGTTGTCATGCACATAATTTTTACCTTATTTTTACCACATAAAACCCGTTGGGTTGCATATGGTTTTACTTATTAGCCATTTTTTTTCAAACTATTTTGAACAAGCTATTTAGCTAAATTTTTAATAATCAAAATAAATGAGGTGCAATTTTTTTCTTATTAAAATGATTTAAATCGTTTCAAGCCAGCTATTTTAGCCTTTTTATCCAGAATGTTTTTTTGTATTACTACATCTGGCCTAGGGGAAACCCGATCTCGGCCTAGTCCCGGTTCCTGTCCAAGTCTCAGACTGGCTGGTCCCGGTGCGGTCTCGATTCTAGTTTCGGACCGGCTGGTCCCAATTCGTGAATGGTTATGGTGGTCCCGATTCGTGAATGGTTATGCCCAGAATTTATGGGTCACAGGACCGGTCCCGGGCCGGTTCGGGCGCACTGTTTTGATTTTTCGTTAAAATAAAATTTAGTAATATAAATAACAAATGCTAAACACTAAACATGAAATGTAGATTTATTAGAAACTCTAAATTGACTTAGAGTATTAGACATTTATAATTTACAATTGAGAATAGTTTAAATACATTTCCTAATCGTCGGAACTCCTGTCAGTGTCGATTATTGTTTCCTCTGTGAAGTGGCGGTCCGGTGTTATGTTAACTTTTCGAGTTCTATGGCCGGCCTTCAACAAATCGTGGAATCAAATGAGCATCTAAAAAAATGCAACCGAGAGTAGAATAATTGAGTAGAAGTAGATTAGAATTTATGGATAAGAGGGAGAAGTGCGATTATTAAAATTGAGATGGTAAAATTAGTATTGCTAATAGCTTTTTGATAATTAATCATTTTTATGGTTTGTTTTGTATTTTTAATCGAATCCTTTTGTTTAATTTTTATACACTGTATAATTCAACTAATTACAAATTACAAAATTAGTTAAGAAATACAATTAAAATCGAAAGAAACAACTTCAGCTAGGTTTACCGTCAAATTTGGATCAAATGGGTTCACCGTCAAAATAATGTGGTTGTTGCCCTCTTTTTAGGATTATATCAAGTGAAACAATTCTTTACTAATCGTTTTATTCATATATGATATATTTCAACTAATTTACAAAGTTAGTTAATAAATAATAAATAAAATTGATTGAAATAGAGCAACTTAACGGTTGCTAGTTGTGTTAACTTGGTTAAGGGGGCAATTGCCCTCTCATGTGGGATTCTAAAGATTTTTGCCCCAAAAAAAAGTTCAAGAGCATAAATACTCTTTGTTGACAAGTTTAGGGGGCTTTTTGCCCCTTTTCCCTTCTTTTTGCTAAGCGCGCCCCATTTACAACGCCATTGGACAATTATGTCCTGATGTGTTTCGAAGGTTTTAACATTTAACCTCTGTCAAATTGCTACGGAGTATTACTATGAGCAAGTCTTTTCGAATTCCTTCTTGGTCAAAAAAAGTTTATTCCTTCTTTAATACTCGATCTAGAAAATATTTTATTTGTTTATAATTAGATATTTTTTAAAATAATACTCCATCCGTATCACATATATCTTCCCACTTCCAAAGTGGGAGAGATTAAGAACAGTGAAATGGGGTATGAATTATTGAGGGTATGATGGGAAGATGGTGAAATAATGTGATGGAATGAAGGATAAATCCAAAAAAAATAGGTGTAGTAGTGTATTATTTTTTAAATTATTAAGGGTATAATGTGAAGATTTAGAAATGGGAAGATATAAATGTTACGTCCAAAAAAGGAAAGTGGGAAGATATGAATGTTACGGAGGGAGTACTAATTTAAAAATAAGAACAAAAATAAGATTTATGGTTACTATAATATATCCCAAATTTGTTTATCCTAATAATTGTTGATAAAATTAGGGGGTGTTTATCTTTTGTTTATATTTTAGAATTTTTATTCATATATATACATACATATACACACACATACAAATATGTGTGTGTGTAATTATTTCTCATAGTTTACATCCCATTTAAAAAATTAAAAATTGGGAAGTGAGTACACATTTATTTAAAAAAAATGTTGTAAATCTTTATTTAAAAATGGCCATCTAGAATAACTTAAATCACATTAGTTAGAAAGTAAATACAACATTTCTTATATTAACTATTATAGAATTTAGTCTGTGAAATCCAAATTTAGTCAATTCAGATAGAGAATAAGTTTTAAGTGTGCTTATTTATCCTTAGTATAAAGCAGTTATACAGTAAATTCTAAAATGTAAAAAGTAGTTATAACTCAAACTTTTTTTTCAGTTTCGAAATACATTAATAAATTTAAATAGTTTCATTGAGATCAATAGAATACATTTATTTAAAATTTATTTAACAAAAGGAACTTTAAAAAAGAATGTAATTTTAATAGCTTTAAAGCAAAAAAAACCTGCCACCGCATCCAGTAAAGGAGGTTTCATTTTGGACTTGAACGCATAACTTTAACGAGAGTAAGGTTAAAATTGTCAACCTAGGTTACATTAAGCAACTTTGGGGGTGCACAAAGCAACCCCTTTTTTAAACAAAGCAGAATCAGAATCAATTTTTAGAAGCCGGTACCCCAGTTTCTAAAAAAACTTATTCTGGGTGTAAATTAGAACATCAGAAGTGTTTTTGGAATTTCACCCAAACACTTCAGCTTCTGCTTCTGTTCCTTGAAGGAGCAGAATCAGTTTTGAGAATCAGATCCAAACACCCCCTTGATAAGCGCAGTTTTTTTAAGAGTACCGAGTAATAGCGAGTAACTCGCCTTTTGGACCGACTCATCGAGTACTCGCCGAGTAACTCGGAAAATTAACTCAGGCAGAGTTAACTGCTATTCTGCAAGGTGATGGGCCGAGTAGAGAGTACTTGCTGAGAAGATAACCCAGGTCATAACATTCAAATTTTATAGAAAATAATAGTGTGACGCGGCCAAAAAATGTTACAAACTAGGTAAAAACAATTGTATACTTTTTGTTCACATTTTTAAACAAATCATATGAACATTTTTTTCCCGGTTAATTTATGCCATAGACAAAATGTCGATTGGAGAAGTCAAACTTTAATGACAACAAAGGTCAAGGATAGACAAAAAACGTTTCTGTTGTAAAATCATCAATGTGTGAATGTCCATCCTTGTAATCAGGACATTAATCCAATTCCAATCTTTGTAATAGGACAGATGTCTAGGTTTAATGTTGCCAACAGAATGTGTAGAAATTCTCCTTGATGGTTCATCACCAAGCCCTACTCTCTACTCATCTCCATATTCATCTTCTCAAATTCTCTTATTCTCCATTATATTTTATTTTACTATTTAATACTTATACAATTATTATATCTACTTATATATTAATTATCTACTTATAAATACATATACTATATTACTTATATGTCTTATCTACTTAATCTCTACTTATATCTCTTAATACATACATACATACATACATACATACATACATACATACATACATACATACATACTACATCTACTTAATATATACTTTATATATTAAAGTATTAAATATACTTTATAAACTATTACTATATACTTAATACATAATAATATCTACTTTTCTACTTATATTTCATATATACTTATTTTCTTATTCTCCAATCTCCAATTCTCCATTATGCTCTAATATTTAATTCTTATACAATTATTATATCCACTTAATACATACATTCTACATCTACTTAATATATACTTTATATATTAAAGTATAAAATATAAGTGTATTACTCATCTTATAGTAGTATACTTATATATTATATACTATAAACATTATATTATATATTAGTTACTATAACTAGTATTATACTAGTTAATTAGTATTTTTGTTACATTTTTTATTATACTAGTTAAATAGTTAATTAGTATTCTTGTTACATTTTTCATTATACTAGTTAATTAGTTCATTAGCATTGTTGTTACATTTTGCATTATACTAGTTAATTAGTATTCTTGTTACATTTTTCATTATACTACTTAATTAGTTCATTAGCATTCTTGTTACATTTTTCATTATACTAGTTAATTAGTTCATTAGCATTGTTGTTACATTTTTCATTATACTACTTAATTAGTTCATTAGCATTCTTGTTAC